ACAGATCACAGGGGTACTCTGTAATCTGCGGTAGCAATTAGCATGCACATAGAAGTAAGGTGTAAATTAATAAGATGCCCATGCTAGCAAGCAGCTAGCATGGAGAGAATGCGATGCTACGGCATACGGATGCCGGAGCTGACAAATTCTTAGAGAGGACTACAAGTTTTAAAGGATAACTCCCGAAAACTCGAAGTACCAAAAAGGGGGTTTTTTAGTTGGTAAGAATCCAACACTACCCAGGGTTCGGAACACTGGGTGTCTTCGCGAAGATTTTTATTCCTCCAGCCGCCGGGCAAACAAAAAAAAATCCCAGTTTTTGACGTACTATTCCAATCTCCAATAAAATATTGTGGTTACTATTTGAAATTCTCAAGTTGACCCCTGCTTAGCGTACAAGGTTGAAGTAGGCGTTGTTTTTCTGACACGAATAAACTCCCCCCCCCCCCCAGATATTAACTTTTTATTTGAAACATTTTTTCCTCGGATCACTCGTTTCCGAAATATTTAAGCGTTTCAAGATAAAAAAAACCACCCTGTATATAAAGGTTATCGACCCAATCAGTTTTTCTGCCCGAGTGATGATTTAATTATATTTGGAATTTCCAATTAATATTCTAAGTGTCACTATATTTGATAATGTGACCTTCAGTTGTCAAACTCCTATAAAAAATTCCTGAGAACAGCGAAAAATTAGTGAATGTTAAAGTTATAGTGATTTTAGAAGTGAAAATGGATTAAATCTCTCTTGAACTTTTAGAGGTAGCAAACTGGAAATATTGAAAAACGTAAACATCTTTCATTATTTACCTAGGGACTTTTTTATTATTTTTAATGATCTAGGGAGAGAAATATACATTGTCGCTAGGAAAATGGAATAAATAATGGTGACCTCTCAGGTTAGTAGTAAAAAAATTCGCGAGTTCAAAAGTCCAAACGCCCCTTGGTGGCTAAAATTATAACTACACGTTAACTAGTAATTTGGGGTTTGTGATTTGTTTTGTTTCGTTCTTGTCAACTTTTGTAAAGTGAGTGAGTATTGATTTATGTTATAGATGTCTTCAACTTCAATAAATAAAAAGATCTCAACGGTCACTCGATAATGAGAATTTGACGTTTCGCAGCGCCACCATCGGTAGTTGAACTGGCATACGAGTCCTTCATAACAGTTTTATGCCATTTCCATTTTTATATGCTGCTTTGTCGCTTAACTTCATAAAGTCGCATTCAATATGTAGTTGCCTCACCTAAATTTTCAATTTATCGTCACGCAGAATATTTATGGATATTTTTGGTCGAGGCTCATAAATCACTCTTCAGGTTTTATAGCGACGTTCCCTGTCGTTTAATTTGTCTGCTTGGTAAAATATCTGCAGTTTTCTGCTGAAAGCCTTTTAGATAAATGGTGGATGGCACAGCACTTACATAGAGAAAATTCTAAACTGAACTTACTGGAAATCTTATAAAACTATAAAAACGGTTTTGTTACTCAAAGCCTCCAGCTTAGTGTTCAACAATTACCAAGTCTTAAAATCGGTCAAATAACATTTGGTCTTGAACCTAATATTTCTATATCTCTTCCTATGAAAATTGATAATTTATAAATATTGATAAAACGCCAAACAACTTTGTTTTAAAACCCGAAACGTTTCAGTTATCTGCACTATATGTTTCAGAGATGTTTATGAAAATGCCGCCCTCAACGTTTCGCTGAAACATTGCTGAACCGTTCCAAGGAAATGTTCTGAAACGTTGCACTAAACGTTATTTAAACGTTGCAAATAAATATTGTGTAACATTATTACAGTCAGAGGCTGAGTGAAAAACATGTGCAACAGACGAATCCTAAGCCACTGTCACCGCAGATGAACGTTAATACTATTTTCTTAAAACCAACTAGCATTCAGGAGGTTGTCAGTATAATTAACAATTTGAAACTCAAAAATGGTAGAGTAGATAAAATTTATAGTAAAATTTTGAAAGCACTATCAAATTACATTTGTGAACCTCTAGCATATTTGGTTAATTCTTGTATTGAAAAAGCTATCTGGCGGGAAGCATTGGGGAAAGCAGAAATTGTACCTATTCTTAAGTCGGGAGATATACATAATATATCCGATTATAGACCAATATCACTAATATTGAACATTGCCAAAATTTTTGAGCGAATAATATACAGCAGAATTTTTGATTTCGTAAAAGGGAATAATATAATATCATCAATTTGGTTTTATGAAAAAGATCGGTACAAAAAATGCTTTACATCATATAACAAATTTATTCTACAATAAACTGGATACTAGTAAAACTATACTAATAACATTTATTGACTTGGCAAAAGCATTTAACACTGTTGACCATAGAATATTATTAGACACTCTCTACTGTTATGAAGTAAGACGACTGGCTCTGGATCTGCTTTCAAGCTACCTTAATAATAGATCACAAAGGGTCAAAATAAATAAAACATTTAGTGATTTTATGATTTTAAAGACTGGTGTTCCACAAGGTACAGTTTTGTTACTGTTGCTTTTCATTCTGTACATAAATCATATCTTGAAGATTTCCATTCAATGAATTGTATCGTATGCGGATGATACTGGGGTGATTGCTTTTGGTGATACCTGCAGTGAGGTTGAAGCAAAAATGAATGTTTATTTAAGAATTGTTGTTGAGTAGCTGGTATCAAACAAATTATCTCTTAATTAAAAAAAAATGTTTGTATGACTTGTGGAAACTATAGCGATAGTGTTCCATCAAGGCTAAACATTAACATTAAGGGTAGTCTTATAGAGAGAGTGGAAGAGTATAAATATGTAGGTATGGTTTTTGATTATAACATGAAATGGGACAAACATATTAGCAATATCATACAAAAGACGAAATACCTAGTCTTTATTTTTTATAGAATTGCCAAAATGATGCCAACCATGTCTCTGCAAATGATATACTATGCTTTTTTCCATATCATTGTCAGTTATGGAATTGTAGCATGGGGTGGAGCTTGTAAAAATAGCACAAAACTATTGCAAAACTTACAGAATAAGTTGCTAAAATTAGTCAATAAAAACAACCATGCTGTAAAGGATAATACGATGAATTTGGAGCAGATGTATACACTTGAAGCGCTGAAATACCACTATGGTTCTCTGAAAAATTATTATCTCGCCTCTGCTAGTGTTACTCGCGGTAAAGACCTGATTGTCCCTAAAAACAAGAAAAGAGTGAGTGATAAGAATTCATACAAACGAGCAATGCAGTTGCTCTGTATCTATTGTATCTGGATAAAAGATCACACTTCCGTATGTTGAAAGACTTGATAAAATCCAACTAATTTTCTAAAATTTTACTGTTAATAGTAATGTATGCAAAATAATATAATAATAAATGTTTCTTGACAGGTCAAACAAGAAAACTTTAATTTAGGTGAGTAATAGAATTTTTTGCTGTTGTTATATTTTTATTAAGTTTTCGTTTTTTCTTGCAACTAGGCCTGCATATAGATATATGTTTATCTCTGCACGGTTTTACAGTTTTATGTACAATTTGCTGTAAATCTTTACTAGCTAAATAAATTCAAATTATACATGGTGTATCTTTGAAGGGTGCAAATCTTTTAATTGGTGGTACATTTGGCCCTAGAAGCAGAACTATAGTTAGGATTGTCCTGCTTCGAGGACAAAAATATACCATCAACTAAAATATTTGTACTCATCCAAGAATCACTCTATAGTTCATGATTCTATAACGTTTTCATAAAAATATTTACAAAATATTGTAACGGAAATGACCTGGGGTACTCACGTTTGGAATGGGGGGATCGAAATTCATGCTATTTCAGCAAATGGGAGCCCCATTTGAGCCCCATTTACTGTCAACTATGACAATGACAATGGAAGTTTCGCACCTGTTCTGGAGATTTCTAGAACTATCTGGGTTACCTGGAGAAAACTATATAAGCGACGACGAGAACCAGACAGGAGCCCAATTCTTGAAACTGGGAGCGGCGATCGCATGAGAAAAAAGGGCGTGGTTCTCTCGTGAAGCGAATATTGGTATTCTTGAACGCGATCGAGTGATCCCATCACGCAACGGCAGTAAAACAAGCTTCTCTTGCCAAATCTCGCGGGAACGGATCGTTCACCGGTTTTATAACCACACACTACACAGATTTTGGCGTAGGTACCCGGTTTGAAAAGTGGTGTGATTTCGGTCCGATGAAATAATGAATTTCATAAATAAAACTTTACAGTGTTTATAAAATAAGGAGCAATTTAAGAGATTTTCTAACAGAGAGTAGAGCGAGCTTGTATGAAATTGTTCTCAACAATCTTCAAGGTAAGTTTTTGTGTTTCGAATCGTGTCTTGTAGTAGAAACTATTCTAGTATTACTGAATTAACTTGTCGATGCAGAGAAACTGAAGAAAAAGAAGAAAATCCTCCACGGCAATTTCATCAACCCATGAACTCTATGGAAATAAATGAAATCAAGTTCGTCAAGCTTTTTAGGCTGAATAAGCAGCTTGTGCTCCAATTGATAGAAAAGTTGACGCCCTATCTTCAAGCAATAGAAATATATCTGAAAACAATATAGAAATAGTAATTGAGAAACCAGTTCAACAATAAATAGATTTAATTGATCATTATAAGAATAAATGAATGAATACA